ATATGAGACTTGAATTTGGCAGGGTTGCGTTCAAGCTTGGCTGAAGATTGTTGCCCAGTTTTATAGCAGGATGAGCGACCTGTTCGAAGTGTGGCTGGAAACAAGAAGGCGGTCGGGCTTACCTCAAACGTGGCTGGAAGGTATGGCTGGGTTTGGTAGTTGGAGGCACAGCCAGGCTTGAACCACAGAGCTGCAAGATACGGCAGGGCACGACCGGGTTGAAGGATTGTGACCGGATTCTGATGCTTGGAGAATACGATCAGGGTTGGTCGGGGGAGCAGGGCTTGCGAGACGACTGGACACAACCAGAAAATCTAAGGCTTGCGAGACAGCTGGGCATGGCCAGAAGAGCTGGGGGATCTACAAAATTGCTACCTAGTGTATTGAAAGAATGTGTGGCCGGGTATTTGAGTTGGATGAGGTGCGACCGAGATTTGGAGCAGGTGGGGGCTGCTGATTTTTTGTGGCCGAGTGTCCTGAATAGGTGTTTGCGGCTGGGCTGCCTCTACCCATATTAATATACATATACATATATTAGTAAATAAAAATGCAGATTAAATGAAGGTTTTTGTTGGCGGAATAACTTTAGAGCTCCAGGAATTCAAAGGTCAAAAAGGGCATCCTTATATTATTCCAAAGGCTCGGAGGTCCAAGCTCAAGCCATGAATTCGAGCCCAGGATTTTCGGAGGATTATATGCACATGACGGAGGCCTTACAAGGAAAGAAATCAAGGAGTTTGATAATGACTCTGATGTTCCAAAGCAAGGAAGAATCAAGCATGTCAGAATATTTCAATTAATGCAATCCCACGGATTTAGGATGGCTTCGAAAGGAAAGATTTTTAGAAGGGTTGACATTTGGCCATTCAATGACCAGCCCATGGACTAACGAATGCCCTATATAAACCTCACAAAATGAAGACATTGGACACACAACATCAGACATACAAACCTATTTTTTGTCTCGCACTTTTCTTTTCCTATACTTGGGATTTTACTTTTCAAGCACTTAGTGTAGCGAGTTCTTTATTTTTCCTAGTGTAAGTTTAAATTCTCGTTCAATTTATATTTCTTGTCATTTAAATTCAAGTTTATTTCAATTTCTTTACCTTTCATTTTATCGCACTTTTATTAAGTTTAATTTCAAGTTTAATTTAGTTTATTGCTCTTATCGTTCTTATTGCTTTTATTTCGTTCTTGCTTTATTTATCGCTTTGATTTATTTTATCGCACTTCAATTCTTGTCTTTATGTTTATACGCATATTTAGTTTAATTGCATTATTTTTACTTAAAACCCTAAAAATCACAAAAATATTTGTACGAAGCCTAACCATCATCGAGCCTGGGGAAGTGAAAGAATCTAGGCCAAGAGGAGGTTCCTTACTTGGCCGATCAATCATTTGATCAGAAGTTAGAAGCACAACATATCTATCTACTCACATTTCATTCAAGCCTAAATTCGTGGCTTCATGGTGGCACTCCTCACATTTAAAAGAAGAATGACCAAAAGTTCATTCCGTCGGCCGCCTCGACTGAAAAGAGGAAAACACAAAGTAATGCTAAAATAAACAATATTGTTGAGTATGTGTCACTAAAATGGAATAGACTAATAAGTAGTCAACTCCTATCTTCTATCAACATCAACTAAGGATACAATTTCCAGAATGCTTTATTCCTCATCTTCAAAAGTTTACATCAGAAAGTTTAAGAAAATTATAAAATTAAATATTCATCCATTGTTCATTCTAATTCATAAATTTAAATAGTAAAATATTACACCCTATCTACAAGGTAGGATAAAGTGCAATTAGATTCTTGCAAGTTTGTCGATAATGGCCAATTGAACCACATCTTGAACACTTACGAGTTGATGGTTCTTCTCCGCATGATGGGATTCTCTTTTCCTTGCGCCTGCCGTACCTTTTTCTTGTAATTGGTGGTAGGAAATTCTATCTCGTACGTCATTAGGTACCCCCCAATTAGTCTGATCCCCAATAGTTCCCCGTAATTTTGTCAAAAACCAATTCCATGATGCATCATTCTCTGAATCTCCAACTCCGAATGCAACATGGTATGTTTGGTTATTTCTGTCCTTCCATGTGGAAACAAACAATGTCCCACGATATTTACCTTTTAAAAATGTTCCATCAAGTGCAATTACTGGCCTGATAACAGTATGAAATTCTTTTATGCAAGGTCCAAGTGACATAAAAAAAATACATAAAATGATTATTACTGTCAGTTTCAATATGAGTTATCGTACCATGATTTTTGGCTTCTAACATAGCACAATATGATGGAAGTATTGCATAAGATTCCTCTGGCGATCCCCTAACCAACTATAGTGCATGTTCCCTAGCTCTCCAAGCCTTCACATAACTTATAATATACTCACACCCATATCCTTTTGCATATCCTCCATGATGTCGTGGGGTCTATGTACTCGTGATACACCCTCGTACTTAGATTTTATGCATTGACCAATAAGAGAACTACTTGCATGTTGATGATGGCGATGAATAGCATCCAATGAGCATGTGTGTTTTGTAAAATATTTTTTTTTACCATGAAATATGAGGATCTTCATACCTTGGATGCAAACAATTTCCACATGCGTCGGTCATCGACACAACCAACTTCAACTTCAAGTGTTAGGAATTTATGCTATGTTAAGGTTGAATAAAGTGGAATAAAATAAAGCCAGTTTAACAAGAGAGTGAGGAATTTATCCCCATAAACTTCTTATCAACAAATTCTTTATTTAGAGAGAAAGAAAAGCAACCTGGTATTACGGATCGGTAAGTTGAATTAGGGAGTGTTGGAATTGCTTCAAATTCCCATAAAAGAAAGCAAGATATTCCTCCCTCACCCTCTGCAGGAAACCCAGAACTCACGCTACACCATCAAAACACCAAAATTGATGAATTTCAATTTCTTGTTCCTACCAAGCCAAAGAAACAAAGAAACAATTAAAATAAAGAAGCAACCGCACGAATAAGCAAAAAATATGCATAAAGAAAAAGAAGAATATTACTTATCTGTAGTTCTACCAAGGCTACAGACATGCGTGTTCAGCAGTAGTTTGACCAAGGCTATAGACATGCGTGCAATTCTAAACTTTGTGTAGTAGAGTTTTGCTTTTTAGGTTTACATGGATTTTAATTTCAAGGGCATTTGTGTTTTTTTAGGTGGATTTTTAGCTATATTTGAAAGATTTTATAAAAACTGACATTTTTGAAAATATTTTTAATAAAAACTCGAAATCAATCCGCGAATATTCTCCGGTATGAATAATATTTGCACAAACAGTATGATTGAATGAATTGGTAAAGTTTGCCATTGCAGCAGGCCTATCCAAAACCAGAAACCATCTGCTATTATTGCTTCCAATGCAATTATATGCAAGCAAGGAACGCACTTTATCATTCTTCGTGTTGTCATGGTTCCACTCTCTCTATAAAATGCTAGCCAGTCAAATGTCCATGTGGATCATGTGAAACATAAAAAAGCATGCAGTTGCAGTGGGTAGTGCCATTGTAAATGGGTTTCTAGCTTTCTGTAGTGCAAACCTGTGTGCCCAACCAATAGCATCCGCACCATTGACACTAAAAACAAGCCATTAATTCGATCATAGAAAGCATAGGATAACCACCTAATTAGTTAAAACCCCATTATTTCTTAAGCATCATCTGCAATATTAGTTAAAATATAATTCTATATAATCTTGAATTTATAGTACTGGCCCCCCTCCCCCATATTAGCTTCTAACTCCACCACCGGCTACAATTTTACCTTTAAACAAAAGTATGGAAAAGGACATAGGTCATTTTAATGGGTGTCCTTCCTCAGTTGGATTGTGAATTAAGATAGGACCACAAGTGTGGAGTGGGCTTCTTTGGGATCGAGTGTTGTTTTTGACGATACAATACAAAAAAAAAGAGACGACATTATTGCATATGTTTTATGTTGCTCAAGAAGAGTGTAAAGTGAAATGTTAATCCCCCCTTAATTTCCATAATTAGATACAAAATAAGTTACTAATCAACTACGCGCCGGTATTAACAATTACCTGCTCAATTTATTTTCTGTCTGATTCTTGTGAAATCACCACAATTTATTTTATGATGTTCTTCTTTCTGTTTGTTGTTGTTGTTGTCAAAAGACAATTATGAGAGATTATTCATCTCCCCTTTGAAGAGAATGGACCCTCAAGTCAAGAGAGCTTCAATTTCCTCTAAAGCAATGGTTGTGTTGTGACATGTAAGTGGATTTCCTTTGACAAACCTAATTATAAAGCTAATAATGATAGACTTTTTATTGTCACACATAATTATATTTCAAAGATTCTACAAACAAGCTCTTGCTCTGCCCAATCCTCCTCCTTTTCCATTTATTATTTGACGTTGGTGTGTGCCTATCTACTCATCCGCACCGTCTCCGCCTTTTTTATTTATTTCCTGGAACAAATGATTTTCTTAGTGTTAATGCTTAGATCACCTGTTCCTCCCCCCCAACCCACACACACACACACATATATATATATATAAATTTCTCAAATAAAAAATTATTTGAGGAACACTCTTTAAGGTTTCATACAAGCTTTTTTTTTTTTTTAATGATCCAAATCATCTATTTTTTAAGTCTACATTCATAGATCATTCTTGCAAAAAAAATAAGACAAATCAGAAACTGTTTTCAATGTCCAATTGTGTCCTACAAAATCAATAAACACGATACTTCAAAAAAGTACTAAAATTTCAGTAATTCAATTGAGTGGCCAAATGATATTGAATTTAAGTGATTGCCAAATGATATTGAATTTAAGTGATTTTTTGTAGAAATAATATTTGAATAAGTATCTACAAAATAGACGGTTTGGATTAATGAAATACAATGCAAAATGGGCCCTACAAAAGTGTCCCTCAAATAAACTTATTTGTGGAATCCCTCAACTGAACCTCCCTATATATATATTGTATATCTCAATACACCTCTTATTAGTATGAACCAAAACCAACCCAGAAGGAAAAAAGAAAGCAGAGAAAATGGAGAGCCAAAACCAGCACCTACCCCAACCTCAACCAAGCAAATTAGGCACCACCTTTTCCAGAACCTGTTTCAATGGACTTAATACATTATCAGGTTCATTTTGTCTCTTTTAATTGCTCTATCTGTCACACCACATTAATATGGTATCAGTCTAATTAATTATAATTCCCATGTTAATCTCTCAGGTGTTGGCATACTATCAATTCCTTTTGCACTTTCTGAAGGAGGGTGGCTGAGCTTAATACTTCTCTTTCTGTTGGCCTTCCTCTGTTGGTACACAGGGCTACTTCTACAAAGATGTATGGATGCAAATCTGCACATAAAAACTTACCCCGACATCGGAGATGTTGCTTTTGGACAGAAAGGAAGGATCACCATATCCATTTTCATGTACCTTGAGCTGTATTTTGTGGCAGTCGAGTTTCTAATATTAGAAGGTGACAATCTGAACCAGTTGTTCCCAAACATGGGTTTCAACATGGCAGGCATCAAAGTTGGAAGCAGACAGTGCTTTGTTCTGCTCACCGCGGTTGTGATTTTGCCAACAACATGGTTGAAGAATCTGGGACTCTTAGCTTATGTTTCTGCTGGAGGGGTTTTGGCTTCTGCTGTTTTGGTTGCTTGTGTTTTTTGGGTTGGTGCCGTAGATGGTGTCGGGTTTCATGAAGGAGATGTTCTTCTGAATATGAGAGGCCTGCCTACTTGTATAAGCTTGTATCTGTTCTGCTATTGTGGCCATGCAGTTTTTCCCACACTCTGCAATTCCATGAAAAATAGAAGCCAATTCTCAAAGGTCAGAATATTCTGAAAACGTTGCCTCTTACTTATTTTTGTTTTGTTGACATGATATTATAAACAATTTCCTTCCTTGCAGGTGTTACTTGTCTGCTTCATTACAAGCACCATCACCTATGGATCCATGGCTGTTTTGGGTTACTTGATGTTCGGACAACATTTGAAGTCTCAAATAACACTAAATCTTCCAACAAGAAAAATTAGCTCAAGAATAGCAATTTACATCACTATAATTAATCCCCTCACTAAGTATGCAATTGTAATCACCCCAATTGCTGCTGCCATTGAGGAAGCGCGCCCTATTCGCAACAGTCGTGTAATTAGTATCCTTGTTAGAACACTAATTGTGATCAGCACTGTATTTGTGGCATTGATGGTTCCATTTTTCAGCTACGTAATGGCCTTTATTGGTTCATTTCTGAGCGTCGCCGTGTCGGTCTTGTTGCCGTGCTTGTTCTACCTTAAGATCAACGTTGCTGCTCGGAGATTTGGGTTGGAGTTGGTGATGATTATTGGAATTCTGGTGATAGGGTCTTTGGTTGGCGTAGTGGGTACGTACACTTCTGTGAAAGAAATTGTAAACCGAATTCTGGATTAATCATAATGGTGGGTTTTAAGCTTTTCCACGACTTTCCTCAACCCCACTGTTGAATAAATCTACCATGTAAATGATGTTCATGCAATATATTTACTCTAACAACCCAAGAAAGTCGGAATTTTTTATTTATTTTTTGGTCGGAAACAAGTTTCATTAATATAGAACGTCAGAGAAGCTGTATTGAGTAGACAAACATGTCCCATCGTCAAATCAAAATGCTGCCGGGACAAATTTACTGGTTGAATTCATGTGAGTGAGCATGGGTGAGACGTATGAGGTGGCTAGTCAAATGTCAATGTGTACCATTACGGTAAATGGGTTTCCAACGTTTTACAGTGCAAGCCTGTGTCCAATAGCATCCACCATTAACGCTAAAAAGAAGCCATTCGATCACAGGAATCAAAAGAAAAGCACCTATATCTGGATTCAAAAGAAAAGCACCTATACCTGGATTCTAAAATCTTACTTTCATTGTCTGAATTTCCATGGTTTGCTGATATGAAATATGAAAGAACTATTTATCTTTTATCCAAAATAGCATAGTTCTCAAAGGTCGGAAGTCTGAAAACTAGGTTAAAATTTCTTGCCATTGAGGCCCTATTTGGTATACTACTCAAAAAAGTAAACTACAAAACTATGATAGGTCCCTACATTTTCTATTTCGTATATATATACTCATTACTCTATAAATCTATGTGTAAAAGTCAATTTCAAATTTAAATAACCCATATAATATAAGTGGTCATAGTATCCCTGTGTTTTTACGTCGTTGTCACCAGACTTCATATTTTATTTCTAATTTATTTCAAGCATTTCATTAACTGCCATAATTGTAATTAATACTCCCTATTAATAGCATATCAATAACCTCATTTCTTTTTATTGCCATTCCCTCAACATATCGCCCCTAAATTTGCAAACCAAAAAAAAAAATTGTAAATTACATATCCATTAATGTACCTATGAAAAATATAAATATAAATATATACGTATAAAAATATAGGTATATTATTTACCAAAAAAATAGGTACACAATAATTTATAGAAAATATAGATACAAAATATTTTTTTATTTAAAAAAAGGTAGATTATTACAGAAAAATAGGTACACAATAATTTATAGAAAATATAGATACACAATAATTTATACTAAAAAATAATAGGTTGATTATTATCCATGAAAAAACTAGGTACAATAAATGAAATCCAAGTTCTAAAATAGGTAGATTATCGGGAAAGATGAAACAAAATTTCATAAAGGTAATAAGGAAAACGGCATTTTTTGGCCAATACATTGTTGACTGTATTAATGAATTTTAATAATAAAACGGATAATTAATGAGATTTTCTATTTAAACCTCTCACTTCTCTTTGTTCACCCAAATACTTAAATCATTAAGCTGTAAGTTTTATTACAGTGTAAAAAGATAAAAAAGGTCATCCAACTTAATACTTAACCCTAATACATCTATTCACACACCCCACCACTCTACATATTAAGTTTTAGAAAAATAAAAATTCCTCACCACTCTTGATATCCTTGAGATCCGATGCATTGAAGCACCATGTGCGGCTAGACGATTAGGTTCCACAGCTGTAGAAGATTCTTTCCAACGCTTGAAGAGAAAGATCAGTCGTGACAAAATCTCATGTATACTACAAATACTTTTGCTTCAAACTGATGCCTAGCACAAGAAGAAAATCTCATGTATTTTTGCTTCAAACTGATGCCTTCAAACCCTCCTTAAACTGATGCCTAGCACATACTTTTGCTTCAAACTTTCACCCCAAATAAAATCTCATGTATACTACAAATATTGTTTAATTATTTAAATATTGGGGTGAACAAAGAAAATTGTGGGATTTAAATAGAATTTTTTTTTTATTTCTTATTTTTTTAGCTTGGGGTGTATTTAAGAGTAGTTTGGGAAGATAGTGGGGTTTTCTTAGAAAATGTGAAAATTTAAATTAAAAGTTGGGGTGAACTTAGAACATGGGATGAACTAAGAGAAATGTGAGGTTTAAAATAGAAAATCTCTAATTAATTGCAGACAAAATTTTTAGAGGGAATCACCGTAATAAATTGGGGAACCAAAAATTAAAATACCACCCCATTACACGTTGAAATATAAATAGGGGTATTTTGGCAATCAAAAAAATTATAATAAATAAGATATTGAGCTTAATAAGGTAACTTGATGAAGGGTTGTAAGTAAGGTAAGTTGAATTTGAAGGGTGTAAGTCAAATTTACTATTCTTTTTAAAAACATGAGTTTTCAAATAGTGATTTTAAGATCTACAAACTTGTTTGGTATTGAACTTCAAACTATTTTTAAGATCTAAAATAAATTAATATTAAAATCAGAAAATCAGAAACCCTAATCCCCAAATTGGAATTAACAAAAGAAAAGAAACAAGATGTGAGGCAAAAACCCTATCAATTTTGGTGGTGCACAACAACTCCAAATTGAACTCCCCGACACTGAACTTAATTCAGTGGTTTTGGTGGTTATTGGTTTGCAAAGACAAACCCAATCAATACGAGAGAGAGAGAGAGAGAGAGAGAGAGAGAGAGTTTGAGTTTTTGAAAATGGGCATACCAAACGAGCACTTATTACGTTTTGTTTTGTTGACATGATATTGTAAACAATTTCCTCTCATTGCAGGTATTGCTTGTCTGTGTCATAACAAGCACCATCACACACACTTGATGTTTGGACAACAATCCAATAATAAAGTTTAGTTATGTATATTGCTCTTCTCTGAACTAATCTTTCGATTAATCCTCTCACTGAGTACGCAATTATAATCTCCTCAATTGCTGCTGCCGTTGAGGATGCACCTCCTTCTCGCAATCGTCGTATAATTAGCATCCTTGTCAGAGATTTGGGTTGGAGTTGTTGATAATCATTGGGATTATGGAGATATGTCTTCGGTTGGCATGGTGGGTACATACGCTTCTTTGAAAGAAATTGTAAACCAATTCTGAATCAACCATAATGGCGGATTTAAGCTTGTCCCTGCTCAACTCTTGATAATGGAAGTCACATTAATCAACTACATGAACTTTAATCCCTGTGATGTTCAAGCAATGCATTTAAATTTTAATCTAACAACCCTGAATTTGGACAAACAAGTCCTATAATCAAAATGGGTTTAGGGCTAAATTGAATCCACAAGAGGCCCTTACAATACTGGACTTTTTGAAATGATATGATTCAGCAAGTTGGGCTGAATCAAACAGAGGGCCGCTAGAAAAACAGTTATATTTTTTTTATAAATATTTTTTATTTTGTAAGAATTAGAAAACAAAATTTAAGGTGAAGTATTTCCACACCATATCTAAAATTTGAGGTTTTAGTGCCATCTCATAGTTTGGTTCCCTCCAAATAAAAAATCACAGCTGTTCTGCATTCAAAGACAATTATGGCAGCACCGGCTGTCCAAATGAGCCCATTCTCTCACCCAAAAACCAACACCAACACCCCAGTCTCTCTCATACCCAAGTGCACGTCTTTCAGAGAGCTCAAGCAAATCCAAGCCTTTTCCATCAAAACCCATCTCCAATATGACATTTCTGTCCTCACCAAGCTCATCAACTTCTGCACTCTTAACCCAACTGGTACCTCCATGGACTACGCCCACCACCTGTTCGACCAAATTCCCCACCCTGACATTGTTGTCTTCAACACCATGGCCCGCGGCTACGCACGCTCCCATACCCCATTTCGAGCGATTTCACTATTTGCTCACATTCTGAGCTCAGATCTCTTCCCAGATGACTACACATTCCCCTCTCTTCTCAAGGCGTGCGCCAGCTCTAAAGCCTTAGAAGAAGGGAGGCAATTGCATTGCTTTGCTATCAAATGTGGGCTTCACCTTAACATTTATGTGTGCCCTACACTTATTAACATGTACACTGAGTGCAATGACGTGGATGCGGCTCGCCGGGTCTTTGATAAGATACCAGACCCTTGTGTTGTTGTACACAATGCTATGATCAAGGGCTATTCTCGAAGTAGTCGGCCAAATGAGGCATTGGCATTGTTTCGAGAGTTGCAAGCAAGCAATCTTAAGCCAACCGATGTTACTATGCTTAGTGCTCTTTCTTCATGTGCTTTGTTAGGAGCATTAGACTTGGGGAAGTGGATGCACGAATACGTTAAGAAAAATAGGTTTGATAGATATGTTAAAGTGAACACTGCACTGATAGATATGTATGCAAAATGTGGAAGCCTGGAGGAAGCAGTTTCTGTATTTGAAGACATGAGTGTGAAAGATACTCAGGCTTGGTCTGCTATGATTGTGGCGTATGCAACTCATGGTAATGGGTCAAAAGCCTTATCAATGTTTGAGGAAATGAAGAGGGCTCGAATTCGGCCTGATGAGATCACATTCTTGGGTCTCTTATATGCCTGTAGTCATGCAGGATTCGTTGAGGAGGGTTGCAAGTATTTCTACAGCATGAGTGAGACGTACAGGATTGTTCCGGGGATTAAGCATTACGGTTGTATGGTAGATTTGCTAGGACGGTCTGGACGCTTAGGGGAGGCTTACAAGTTCATAGATGAATTACCAATTAAGCCTACACCCATATTCTGGCGAACATTGTTGTCTGCTTGCGGAAGCCACGGTGATGTAGACATGGGGATGCGGGTGCTTGAACGAATATTTGAGTTAGATGACTCTCATGGTGGGGATTATGTGATCATATCGAATTTGTGTGCAAGGGCGGGGAGGTGGGAGGATGTGGATCGCTTAAGGAAGTTGATGAGAGACAGAGGAATTGTAAAAATTCCTGGCTGTAGCTCCATAGAGGTGAACAATGTAGTGCATGAATTCTTCTCAGGGGACGGGGAGCGTTCTGTTTCAACAGTACTGCATCAAGCAGTTGATGAGTTGGTTGAAGAATTAAAGCTGGCTGGATACGTTCCTGATACTTCTCTAGTCTTTCATTCTAACATGGAAGATAAAGATAGAGAAGTTTCTCTTAGGTATCATAGTGAGAAGTTGGCCATTGCCTATGGGCTCTTAAACACTCCCCCCAGGGCAACAATCCGTGTTGTGAAGAACCTTAGGGTATGTGGGGATTGCCACTCTGCTGCTAAGTATATATCATTGATCTTTAATCGACAGATAATTCTCAGAGATGTTCAACGATTCCATCATTTCAAAGAGGGAAATTGCTCTTGTGGGGATTATTGGTAGTTGAACTTATTGAACCGGATATCATCTTTGTCATAGACGCATAACAGAGGAAATTTATTGTCTTGACAATATTCTTCATTGCGTTAGTGGAAGGTGATCCACTTGATACTTGTGGACAAATTCAATGTTATATAAGAGTGAGGGGAACACGAACGCAGGTTGGTTTCTGTTGTCAGTCTTGGTCAAATCTGCCTTCTGTGATCACCGACATATCATTGTGATTGAGTGAGTATGAAAAGTTAACAAAAACAGGAATGCAAATTTGTTGTAAATCTATTTAAAATTTATTTACTTTCTATACATTTGTACATATACATTCTGCTGTTATAAAATCCCCATAAATCCTCACACGGTTATCAGATCCTGTATTTTCTTATTATTATATATGAAGGAGATTATGCTGATAGGAAGAATATAAAAGAAGGAAACTGTACGAAAGAACAGTATGTTGAACAATATTGGAACTGAAAACCTACTTTGTAAGGTTTCCCATTTTCCTCAAATCTAGTTTTCCTATGTCTTATATTTATTGCCAATGCAATTATGAAGCACCTTTATCAATTATCATCTTTCCACTTTATAGGTAATGTCATTCAAATGTGAATACTGCTTCCCATGGTGGGATACATATGCAGGCTGAAGTGCACTATGTAAAAATTTATAAATTTTGAGTATCCTAAGCTAGCCATCCCACTTACCCACTTACCAACTCTTAGTTTAGTTGTGAAGCACATTCTTCATTGCTATCTGCTTAGTTTAGTTGTGAAGCACATTCTTCATTCTCAGAGTAAGAATTAGAGTTAACCCATCTCCCTATAAATACATCTGGATGTTCCTCTTATGCATATGAATCGAACACAGACTCCCTTGACCTTGAAGCAAAGAAAACAGAGAGCCAAAGCCAGCACCTGCAGTCTCACAATCTCAGAAGCCAAACAAATACCATAGCCTTTCTCAATGGACTAAATGCAGTATCAGGTTTGTCTCCTTGAGCTACAATCCCTTTGCACAAATGCTCGTAACCACCTGAGCTAGAAGCCCTTTGCACAAATGAAAGACCTTAAAGCAGAGAAACTGGAGTGCCAAAACCAACACCCGTCACAACCACAGGAACCAAGCGAATTAGGCACCACCTTTTTCAGAATCTGTGTCAATGGGCTTAATACATTATCAGGTTCGTTTGTCTCTTTTAATTTCTCTATGTAATGTGACTCACACCACATTAATATGGAAACAGTCTATTTAATTTAAATCTCATTCTTAATTTACACTCTTTTACTTGCTTAATTACCTTGTTAATTTCTCAGGTGTTGGGATACTATCAATTCCATTTGCACTTTTCCATGAAGTTGGCAATAGTACAAGTGCAGTGCGCAGAATAAAGCTTTGTCTGCCCCCAACTTTTATACCTGCCAGGTTGAAAGCCCATATTTGGGAACAATTGGTGCAGATTATCCTCTTCTAAGATTAAGAATCCCACTGCTATTAAATATACTTCTAGATACAAAAAAAAAATTAGATATGGCGACCCTTCTGCACCAGTTGTTACCAAATATGGGTTTCAACCTGGCAGGTATGCAAGTTGCGGGCAGACAAGCTTTGTTCTGCTCACTGCACTTGTATTATTGCCAACTACATGGCTGAAAAATCTGGGGATGCTAGCTTATATTTCTGCTGGAGGGGTTTTGGCTTCAATTTTATTGGTGGCTAGCTTGTGCATTTGAGGGAATTGGGTTCAATGAAGGAGATGTTCTCCTAAATTTGAGAGGCCTGCCTACCGCTATAAGCTTGTATATATCTGTTCTGCTATTGTGGCCATGCGGTTTTTCCCACACTCTGCAATTCCATGACAGAGAGAAACAAATTCTCAAAGGTCAGATTCTGAAAACTTGTTGCCATTTAGTTATTTTTGTTTTGTTGACATTATATTATAAACAATTACAAGCACCATTACATACGGCTCCATGGCCGTTTTGGGTATTTGATGTTTGGAGAACATTTGAAGTCCCAAATAACACTTATTCCAACAAGAAATATTAGTTCAAAAATAGCCATTTACATGACTATAATTAATCCCCTCACACCCACTTGTAATCACCCCAATCGCTACTGCCATTGAGGATGCACACCCTTTTTTCAACCGTCGTATAATTAGCATCCTCGTCAGAACGCTAATTATGGTTAGCACTGTATTTGTGGCATAACCCTTGGCCTTTGTTGGTGCATTTCTGAGCGTCATTGTGTCGATCTTATTGCCATGCTTGCTCTACCTAAAGATTAACGTTGCTGCTCGGAAATTTGGGTTGGAGTTGGTGACAATTATTGGAATTATGGTGATAGGGTCAGGTCGATCCATTGATTTTAGAGGCTCCGTGCAAACAGAGGTGTTGAGGCCCTATATATACAACGAAAAACCAAAAATCATAATCCATAAATAGAACCAAAACACATCCTTAGTGACATCAATACATCATAATCCATAAATTTTTTAAAAAATCGATCTCTAATAAAGTCAATTACATTTACTTTCTTATATACAAAGTTTGTTTCAATCAAATTTGGTAGCTTTTAATTTTCCAAGCTGTGGTAACCATGATATATCATACATTCTAGTTTGATAACAGCCCACATATTTCTAGCCAAATCAAGTATATTCAGCTACATCAAATCATCTAAGAATCCTTACATAACCAAGAAGACATGAATTAATGGCATGTTTACTAATCCGTAACTTGATCATGAGGAATTGAATTGAGGATGAATTGAATTGAGGAGGAGTTGGATTGAGGAGAATTAGATTTCGGATTCCTATTGAAGTTATTTACTAAACCATATGGATTGATGAGAGTTAGATTTCGAATTCCTATTGAAGTTATTTACTCGTTTGGTACACCGTATTAGACTCTGGATATGAGTAAATAGTCCATGTCGTGTGTTTGGTGTCAATTTGTATTATTTAATTACCTGACTATTTTATATGGGTTGGGTCTTTAATACTTTCCTTACCTGACTAACTAATATAACCCACACATCCCGGTTTAGATAATACACGCTTAATTATAAGACTAGGGATAAAGAACACGCATTCAACCGTGAAAAATCAAATGCTCTTTTCATTCTTCTCCCTAGGGTTCTTCTCTGCAATCTTCTACACAGGTTATTCTCATCACTCTTCTCTAGGTATCCATCTCTCACTCTCTATTTTTCATACTCTCTCAAATATGCTTCTTCTTGCTTCTTCTCTCTTCTCTATATATTTCTGCTTTTTTTAATTTTTTGTGAAAAATTAGGTTATGAGTTTTTCCTTCTTGACATTTTTTTTAATCGAATGTGTTGTTTTTATGTGATATAATTTGACGTTGTGGGAATCTTTAGCAAATAAATTGATTCGTGGAATTGTTTCTTTGTCCATGTTTTGCTTTTTATGGGTGTTTTTCAATTTTTCACTGTTTCACTGTGTTGAGAACAAATAGAACTAGGGCTGGGCATTTGGACCCGAAACCCGGCCAACCCGCCCAAACTAAACTGATGGGTTGGGTTGGTTTGGTTTTTTTTTTTCAATTTTTTTTTGGTCATCGGTTTGAACCCAAACCAAACCGAAATATATGGTTTGGTATACGGTTTGCAATATTCAAACCCACGGTTTAATAAACCAAACCGAAGATATTAAAAAATATTATATATAATATTATTATAGCAAATATATATATATATATAATACATAGTTTCAATCTTTTCTTTTTCTTCTCTCCCAATCTCTCCGTTTGTCTTGTCTTCATCAGTCCATCTCTCTCTATTTTTATTTTCTTATTCTTCTTATATATGTCTTCACGCCCTCTCCCCGTCTCCCTCTTCTTCTTTTTTCATTCTTTTTCTTCTCTCTCCTTTCTTTTTCTCCTCTTCTTCTTCTTCTCCATCCCTCCCTTTTTTTTTTCTTTTGCTCCTCTCTCTCTCTCTCTCTCTCTCTCTCTCTAAGAAAGCCAAAAAACGGAAACCAAACCAAACCAAACCACCAAGTCCGGTTAACCGAAGTGGTCGGTTTTCATCAATTATGGTTTGGTTTCGGTTTTCAAAATAGCCAAACCGAAGCCTATAGTTCGGTTTCGGATTGAGCTTAAAACCGAACCAACCCAAACCGAGCCCAGCCCTAAATAGAACAATGGTTGGGGTATGATTGTGAGGGATACCAATGGTTGCTTTGTGGCGGCAAAGGCAATTTGCTTTCGAAATCTTGCGGCTCGTAAAAAAAGGAAAGGACCATGACTGTAGTATGTGAAATACGACAAGCCTACTGGTGTGGCTTGCATGCAGTGCACAACACAATTCAATATCTCTTTTGCTAAGCACAATTATGCATTATACACTCCATTAACGACCATGGTCTTTTGGCTAGATTAATTTTTAAAGTGAATCTTCCTTTTATTCTTTTTTTGGGTGTATTGATATTACTTTTACTAATTTTTTTCCCTTTATATTATGCCTAGTTATGTATGAAAGAAAAATTATGGCATACTTTATTATTAGATTGTGGTTCTTGCATACTATGACTTGGTGCATGATGTGATTCATGACTTACAATTTGGAACAACGACGCCAAGAAAGGAATGCCATTAGGAGTCAAAGGTATTTCAGGATTGCAACTCAGTCGAATTATTTAGATACCATTACAAGAATTGATGACATACAATGTGTGAACCAAATTAGGATGGATAGAAGAACTTTCCATTATTTATGCCAATTGGTTTGTGATGATGGGAGAGTGAGAACAAATGGTTCAGTGACCATATAAGAGCAAGTGTGTATGTTTGGGAACACGAATGGTTCATGTCCCTGAACAAGATAAACCAAGATATTGACCGTGAAAGGGGGAGGATGCAACCAATGTATTGGGAGTTTGTACCCCTGAAAAAATTTCATGTCATTTGAATTTCAATTTCCACTTAAATTATCAAAGAATTTAAAAAAAAAATAGTCTGATCTTATGTTATTCGGAACCACACCAAACACAGTATAACGTAGTCGACTATTTATCCGGAACAGCACCAAACGCCTTATAATATTATAGATAAATAATCAGTACTTTTCGGAATAGATTAATACTATTCGACAGAAATTAGTCAGTACAGTCTGACGTACCAAACGAGCCCTAAATCATATAGAATTGGGATATGAGTGGTACCAATTACTAAAATATCTTTGTTGTTATGTTAAAATAGATGACAAATTTGGAATTTTAAAAATTGTGTGAG